GTTGTGTGATTTACACATGTCTGTGTGTCTCAGTATAATTACAACTAAAACATTACAGTACACTTTGGTTACAGATAAAGTGGAACACAGCAATATATCCAAATCTCACTGTGTACATTAGAAGCTAGACTTGATGCTGGATTAATCGCTATCTGTAGCCTATGGTCGGCTAACACAGACAATAATTTTGACCCGTGGCCACTTATTAAATTAAATCTGTTTCCCTTTCGATTAAATCGATTAAAAATTCTTGGTGGATTGTGTATAAAAACACAGTGACCATCACAAGTGGATATATTGCTCTGTATCACATGAGCGCAGTATGTGAAAATATGTAATTGCAAAGAGGGGAGGCGCCGTTTCCCTATTATATTTGAATGTTGACATCTTTCTAGCTTTTTGTTCACTTTGATAATGCAATTTGAAAAACAATATTAAAGAGTGCAAATACATACGAGTTAAATGACATTTTAATCATCATTTTGAAACTATTATTGCATCACGTAAAGCATGAATGTGCAGTTCTGGAAATACATTTAACAGTTTTACAAATTACTGAGTTTAAATTTTCATTTTGAGCCCAAACTTGCATATATGAGTGGAAAATCTTTGCATAGTTTTGATACTGATATAATTCCATAAAAACCATGCCTGTGGCATAGCGAGAATTTCATCTTAGGTGGGGAGCTTGGAATGCCATCTAGGAAGCATTATGTACAATGTACCTGTAATTTGATTATTACAGCCTTCTTTTCTGTAACTGTAATGTGATCATGTAACACTGTTACATGTATTCAGGTACTGCCCTCTGGGTCTTGGTCTCCCCTTTTCACACGATGCTGCCAAGCTGGGAGGGTGAAGGCTAACATGTGCATCCTCAAAGACACATGAAGCACCACCACAATAATGCAATGTTTTTGGAGCTCAACACTCTTAGAGGAGAACATTAACTGCTAATTCTGTTACATCAGCTGAGAGATGCCTGCGATGGCCAGCATCATAATAAGTGATGGGGAAGAAGGAGAGTGATTCTACCCACCTAGAAAGAGGCCAATTAGGCTCTACTGGATTCCCGGCCACGCACAGCTATGGCATTGTATGTGGAGATCGAACTTGTGGCCACTGATTGACAGCTGCGGCACATGGGAGCTCAAAAACTTGACTCAGAGAATGTACGAAACTCCATAACTCCAACCACTTACCTCAGGAACTGCCAGTAACCCCCATGGATGTAGATAACCAGAGGCACATCTGGAACACAGAAAGGTTGATTATTAAAAGTTACCTGAACTGACAAAACATTTTCACAATATTTTCCAAATACATCATGGCACACAGTATCAGGGAGGGTCAGGGTTAGCCGGCTAAGCATATTCTCTCAATGATAGATGGGTGTAGTGGAGGGGGGGCTGGGGAATCATGCTGTTAATATTACTTTTCCCCACTTCCAGGTGCATGATGATCAGAAGATGTTTTGAGATTGTGTTCTGTTGTGCTTCACCTAAAATTACACCAAAGAAAACACCAAAGGAAATAATACAAAGTACTGTCTATGTAAATGTAATGTAAATGTAAGGCTAAATATATATATATATATATATATATATATATATACACACACACATGGGATATATGGGATATATATATCACTAACATTTATTCTTACAGATCTTTCATCTATGCTATGATAAAAAATGACTGGGTAAAATAAAGGCACAATTGCTCAAAAAAACCAAGCATATCATAAAATAGACATTTGTACCTCCGAAATGCTAAATAAAGAGGAGGGAAAATGTTCCTAACTTTTAATAGAAGTTAATGGAACACTTTTTTTGATTCCAAGTAATTTTTTCACTTATATTGGGCCACTAATCAATAATTTTGGACATGCATAATGGGCATACAAGGTTTTGTTCAGACACTGACTACATGCAGAAATAGAGCAGTGAGCCTTAGGACAAGTGCACCTGGGACCAGAGACTAGGTGCTACAATAGGTTTCCCTTTGCCCTCGCAGGTGCCCCACCTGGGGAAGAGCTGTTGGGCACATAAACATCCAGCTTCTCCCCTTCTCCATCTCCATACGGGACATCCAGAAGCATCTGAGCAATAGAACGAGCCTTCTCTGTACCTAAACACACAAACAAAAGAGGTCAAGCTTCCTGCTTGCTTCTTTAACTAAGATGTACAAAAAACGCCAGAAGCATGTCAATGTTTTATACATTCATACTGAAATTGCTGTCACAGATTTTGTAGGGCACAATTAATCACTGCCACTTAAAGCCCCATTCATAACCCCTGCCCCGGTTTAAGAGGGTTTAGAAGACTGAAGCACGGATTTGTTGAACACGGATCTGTTTAAAGGTGCATAAGCAAAAAAAATCTACGTATATAGCTAATCCACAGGATGAATCATCAGGCAATGCAAGTTAGTTAGCTTTCGTGATGCCAGCCTGCGGGCAGATCAGACCCAAACAGAGCAAAAGGGCTTGAGGAGAAGAAGACAGCAGTGGTCCATTACACTGGTAAGCATTAAAATAACCCACCAACCTGATTTCAGCGCAGCAACATGGGCTTTTATCACGTCGTCGGCCGCCATTCTGTGGGACCACTGGCTGGGGGAGTACTGCTTCTCCAGCTCCTATCAAACAGCACCGTGATCTGCGGTCACTCGGTCAGCCATGAGAGCGCCGTGACCGGCGAGGAGGCGAGGAGCGCCCTCTGCCAGCGGTCTTAACAGGCACATTGTCAGAAGAAACTGAAGGGGGCTGCGTTCCAAATCACATACTTCTACTCTACAAAGTGTGCTAAAGCAGTTGTTTTTAAACTGTGGGCCGTGTCCATAGACGGAATCTGAGAGACTATATATATGTATATATATATATATATATATATATATATATATATATATATATATATATATATATATATATAGCTTGAAATCTTAAAGGGGATATATTAAAATACAAAAAATCTGGTTTTATTATATGCCAGTGATATGATACTGTCTGTTTTATGTTATCCAAACAATTCAAAAGCAGAAATGTCATCTGTACACTGTTAAAAAGTTCAGCACTCCAATAACGTATAAATCTTTCAGTCCCTAGACAGTTCACTGTAAGGCAAACGCTACGTAGTGAATAGTGAACGAGTCAGCGAGTGCATCATTTGGAGCACAGCACGAGTTAGTTCAGTTATTCATGTGGAGAAGTGAACAGGAAGGAAAATCTTGCACGACTTTCACTTTCTGAAGCCGAGCTTCTTACAGTTCTGCCATAAACGCTTTATAGAGCCTCACTGACAGCAATGAAACTTGATCAACAAGTGAAACGAGTACTTACATCCTTCGTCATGTTTCTCCAGTCAGACATAGTGGCAGCTCTGAGCTTCAACAGAGACTGCAGTAGACCTTTGAAACTCTGAGGTGGACTGAACAAACAGCTCACAGCCAATAAAACCAGTTTCTTTTTCGCTCTGGGCAAAAAAGCAAACCTCAGGGGACGCTCTGCTTTTGGGAGTTTTATTTCCCTTCAGTCCTTGATGTGATGAAAAACCTGTCATAACCATTTTAGCTGACTATCATCCATGCCACAGAAAAAAGACCTGTGTTCATCCTTTACACAGGCTGTTTTTGTGTGTTGTATGTAAATGAGCTCTATTCTGATTTGCGCTGTAGTAAAGCAGTTCATGCAGAAATGTGCAGAACAAACTGTTAAAACAAGGTTGTTGGTGAAAAATAAACTTCTTTCGGATTTCTGTTTCCTTTTGAAGGCTATGTAGTGCTACAATGAACAGCACAACGTTTAATCAGCAGGACTAAACAGCTGTAGGATAAATGGAGAGGTCATATGTTCATGGTTGTGACATCATAACCATGGAATTCAAAATGGCCTGTTTTTGCAGCTTAGTTTCCATACATGTACAGTATATAACATTTACATACTGCACCAAAGTCTTTGGTGAAAGTGGGTGATTTTTTATTTCATTTTATTTTTTTGGCCACAAAAAAAGGTACAAATATGTAATGTTTGTAAATTTTCATGTTTCAGATATGGACATTAAACTTTCTTTTAAAGTTTTTTTTTTCCTGGATCACAAAACACAGCTAATTTACATATATCTTTCTTTTCGGCATTGTGGCCTACAGCAGTTCAGTCCCACCCATTTATGCTGAAGTATTTCTTCAGCTCGTACTGCTGTTTGAAAACTGCGTTTACATGCACAAAACCTTCTGATGACTGCAAAAATATTCAGATTTTGGCCATAATTCGCAACACATGTACAAACATTTTAATAGTCAGATAATGGGAAAACTCTGGGCATCAGTCAGTGATCAGTTTATTTCTAAACATAGACTGCAACTAGATTATAAAAGAGTTTATTATAAAGGAGACATTATAAAGGACTTTAATACAATTCTATTATAGGATTGCAACCCACCAATAAACACACCCTACATACTTAACGATATGGTTCTTTAAGGGTTCTTTAGTAAAGGGAATGGTTCTATTCAGACCCATTAGTTGTGGAACCATTTGCATGCCTAAATTGTTATTTGCATGGTGAATGGTTTTTGAGATTGATGGAGATTGTGTTGTATATGGTTTTATGTAAACCCTTTTTGGAAATGGTTCTACACAGCACCAAAAAGGGGTCTGCTATTGTTACGATGCCAATTTTGTAACAACAGAAGAACGCTTTTTGGTGTTACATAGAACCATTTCCAAAAAGGGTCTCCATAGAACCATATACAACACAATCTCCATCAATCTGAAGAACCATTTCCCATGCAAATAAGCATGCAAATTGTTCTATATAGAGCTCATGGTTCTAAATAGAACCATTGCCTTTACTAAAAAAACAACCTTGAAGAACCATCTTTTTTACGTGTGTTGAGAAATCAAACTTTATACACAATTTTCAGTTTTCGTTTAAAGATAAAGCCGTTTCTTCCGGGAAGTGACGTGTCGTTGGGTTGGCGGGACATTTAGAACAGCCCACCAGAGCCTGCAGACGACACAGACAGCGGGTCTTGCTTCTTGTGCGTTTTCAGTCTTTCTGTTTTATTTTAAACGGCGTCTGAGTAGTAAGATGGATTGTTTAAACGTACCCAAGATTTTGCCCAACTCTCCCAGAAAGGCGAGGGGTCAAATCCAGGTAAAAGCTTTATTTACTGTTATCTGTATATGGAGAGGACTGAGTTAACTGAAATAGCCCGCCAGCAGCTTCAAATGAAAACATTTTTTTCCTATCTTCCACATATGATATTTTTTAGACAGCGTTTGTGTCCTTTTTTGTTCTGAGAGGATATATTTGTGCTTTTTTTGTGGCTTGTATTTTGGAGAAGCTAATGTTAATGAACTTCCTTTGTGTTGCTGTTACAGGTTATTTTTGGACCAATGTTCTCAGGGAAAAGGTGAGTTTTCCCTTTGGTTATAAACTGTTATGTTTTGCAGGCTTTGTTGACTTGTAAAATTTGATTTTGAAAAGTGATTTACTTTTTTTTTTTTTCGTGCTGAAGAACAGCTGAGGAAGGACGCACAAAGCAACAGCTGCTCCCAAAAACGCGCGCAAACGTCACTCACGTCAACAGATTAGCCTGAGTTTATGAAAGTCCTCCCGCTTAACGTGCATGAAATAGAGACTCAAGGAGAAGTTAAAAAGCTGCTAAAAATAATTTGAGTAGGAATTTAAAAACTGTCAGGACCAAAAACTCCTATAGTACAAAATTCCCTACAGAACTGCAGTAGGATTTAAGTATGTTTAGCATCTGTCTGCTGGTGTCTGCATAGGAACTGAGGTTGGTTTTGAATGAAGTTATAAGAGCTCCAAAGTAAGAAATGTGAGCATCAGCAAAGCAGTCCAGATGCTGTCATCAGTGGAACAGATTGAGGGAAATGTGAATGACATATATGCAAGTGAGGGGAAAAATTGATTTATTTCTTTACACATATGCTTGAGTAAAAGGAAATTTGATATTTGAAAATACTTAAATTGTGAATCTATCAATTTTACATAAGCACATGTAACATGGTTACTTCTAGGGATGCACAAAAATACTGTAATCATATCAGTATTGGCAGATAGTTGCTTTAAAGAAATTGTCTGCATCAGACAGATGTTTAGATTTGACTTGCTTCAATTTTGCTAAATTTGGGATCCTACAAAAGTAAATGTTATTACTTGTCTGTAATGCTAATCCAGGTAGGTGTAGTATCAATGTGTACATTTTATAAATGTGTACATATTCAACAGATATGCATATGAATATCTAATCTCAATATGTGCGCACCCCTAGTTACAAACCACCTTTGATCCTAAGCATATAATTACCGTAAATAGTAGTAGATGTGTCGAAAAAGCATATGATGTAAAATTCAAACTTTAAACACACGTTTCAGTTTTTGTTTAATCAACTAATACATATCTCTTTTTGCAAAACTTTTAACAGCACCGAATTGATGCGGAGAGTGAGGCGCTTCCAGATTGCCCAGTACAGCTGTTTGGTGATTAAGTATGCCAAGGACGTTCGCTACTCCAATAAAGGACTGGCCACGCATGACAAGTAAGGCAGTTCCAGCTGTTTGTATACACATAAATGTGCATGTATGAAAATAGGTGGTGCTTAATGACTCTTTGTTCTACAGGTATATAATGGAAGCTGTGTCTGCCAGCTGTCTCAGAGAGGTGCAGTGTTTGGCCCTCGAAGCGACTGTTATTGGCATCGACGAAGGACAGTTTGTAAGTATGGATTTTTCCCTACCTGTGGGAAAATCAACTAAGATTGAATGCTTGGGAGAATTTTTCGAAGGGACTCTCACTAACTCACTCACTCACTCTCTCAATGCAGTTCCCAGACATTGTTGAATTCTGTGAGGAAATGGCCAACAGGGGCAAAACGGTCATCGTTGCAGCGCTTGACGGCACATTCCAGAGAAAGGTGAGGGTTTCCCTTGATTCCACCTTTCACAGTCGCTCAGTGTGTTTGATTTAGCTCTGAGATAATGCGAGATATTATTGTTGCACTTGCACCACATTGGTGTCAACCCCGATTCTGGCACTTAAATACAGTATCAGCAGTAGAGAATACCAGTATTCTAGTAGATGAAGTAAGCAACATATGACAGTGGTGTGGGACTATTCCACACTTGGAACAAACAATAGTAAAAATTCTCATTATAAAATCTGTAACATGGGTATTTCAGTTGGTGTTACAACCAGCAAAGATTTCAGTATGTCAGATTTAATTCAGCATTTAAAGATAAACCATGCCAAAAAGCACAGCGTCGTTTTGTAGCTCTGAGTAGAGTTGAAACAGCCTGTGAGCTGCCTGGAAAATGAGTTAGGCCAGTCGGAAGCAATCAAACATCCGTGTGTAGTGTGCTTGACGACAGTTAACCACAACCACAGCTAACTGATAATCTGGCACCCTGTGTTCAGCGTTCAAGCCTCATCCCAGGAAAAATTAATATGCTAGTATTCTTGGCCAAAATAATAGACCTTACACTTTAATGCAATGCTTTACTGACAATAATTGCAGGTTCATCAATTTAGATGTTTTCCAGATCATTTAGCTCTAGCTCTGAAACCCTTTAAAATTAAAGTTTTCTAACCAGTACATGCCATCCATTCAAGCGTAGTCTGTGTTACTTATGATTCACATTTTTTTTTTTTTTCCAAAATTTTCCAAAAAGAAACTAAAATAAACAGAAAAGTTGTTGACTCAAATACTAATAGAGGCCCATATGTACAGTTGTATGCAAAGGTTTGGACAAATGATGTGTTGTTGATTTTCTAAATGAAAAGAAGTCAACACATTCTGTACAGAGAACATGCTTATGCACAATTACTGTCTATTTTATAAATTTAACATATTGTGGCCCGTAAAATAGTTCTGGCACATTTTATACTTTGTTTTATTTCTTTTTTTTTTTCCCCAAAATGTTAAACTCAGCAAATAAATAGAGATTGTGCACTAAAATTTGTTTTGTAGAGAAAAGCCATATTTAAGTTTGTTTCCTGATTTAATAACCCCTCTAATTAAATCAACAAAACATAATTTGAGGGTGTTCAAACTTTTGCCTGTGACCTTATAGATAAAAAAAAAAAAAAATTGCCTGGAAACATTTACTGTATTCTATAAAGACAAAATAATTATTTTACTCTTCTTTTTCATCTCATGGTTGTCTCTATCCTTATTCAGCAACTTTTTTTTTTTTAAAAAAACTCATGTCTTCAAAAGGTTTTTCAAAAAAGGACATGAGGCTCTGCATTTAGCGTGTTAAATTGTATGGGTACCCTGATGTTATTAGTGACACAGTTTTCCATGTTTTTGCGCCTTAGCCGTTTGGCAGCATTCTGAGCCTGGTGCCTTTGGCCGAGAGTGTGGTGAAGCTGAATGCTGTCTGCATGGAGTGCTTTAAAGAGGCGTCCTACACCAAGAGACTTGGAGCAGAGAAAGAGGTGAGAAAGGAACAGAATGAAACGAGTGGTCAGAGTGTAATGTGTTCCTAAAACACAACATGGTGGAATGCTGGGCCAGAACAATTTGTCACAGTTCATTCAGTACTTTGAGATCCAGTAGTCTACTGCACAGAAATAACTGAATCCAAGCAGAGCTTACAGTGTATATTTGCATGAAAAATTCATCATTTTTTTTTCATGTAATATTAGTACCAGTTTTGTTTCTAACAGTGTAGTGGCCTACATGTAAGGATAGTGTATATTTATATATAATTAGGTTGTCAGTTAAAAGCAAATAATACATATTAGTGAATATTGTTACACCTTGTGTCTGACAGAAAAAAAGTAAAGTGACATTTGCCTTTAAATCCCTACTATATCCCTTGTTTTATTAGCTGTCAAAGCCTTTCATTTTCTTTATGTGTCTGATTCAGGTTGAAGTGATCGGAGGTGCTGATAAATACCACGCAGTGTGCAGAGCGTGTTACGGAGGTCTGATGTCTAATAAGGAGAATAACGCCCCTCAGAGGGATGAGACACCTCCTCACGCCATGACAGGGAAGCAGTTGGACCATAATGCACCACGAAAGCTCTTTGCCACACTTCATCTATAAACACATACAGCATACAAGAACAGAATAGACTGATAAAGTTACTGTTTAAAAAAACTTGACGCATTCGATTGATAGCAGCCACAACGCATCTGTCTACAGTAGCTGCTGCTACATTTACTGATCGTAGCAGGAAAATCTTTTTTTAGTTTTGTTTATGTATTTTATGTATTTGGCTATGTGGGGGTTTTTTTTATTTTATTTTTTATTTCTTTCAATCAGTGCCTGCAGTTAAACTGCACTGCACCAGCAAATAACACTGCCAATGAACTATGTTGGTGTTTTAATCATTTTATTATCTATTTTAATAAATATAAACTAATCTAATTAAATTGTGATTTCTGAGTGATGGGCTAATGTCACACAAGTGAAAATGATGCTTGTGTTGGTCACTATGCTTTCTGCAATAGTCTGCTCCAGAAAAAGGCAAGTCAAGGATACTTTGTCAAAAGAAATTTATTTTCTTCTTCCCTGTCACAATACATAATTTTATTCTTGTGCAGCCATTTGGCCTGTTTATGCAGTTCATATGCTAACAAGTGCAATTCCGCATTGTAAGAAACATTTAATAGGGATGCACTGATATGGGAATTGTGGACTGATGCTGATATCTGATATTTTTCATGTACTACAAATATTGATACATAGTTTTAAGATGTATAAATTGGGACTAGATCTACCTGAATTAGCATTACAGAGAAATGTAATATTTATTGTAAATGTAGTAAATGAATAAAATGCAGACATTTGCGTTGCCCAAACATTGTGTCTGAGAGTACAATAAATAATTTATCAAATATCAGTTTGAAATGTCAACATCCGTCCAATGCCAAAAGATTTTGAGAGCAAATATCTGCAGAGACTGTTATTCCGATATACTGCATCCCTAATTTTAAACCAGTGTTTTGTTACAGTACAAAATCTAATGAAAAAAATGTATAGCAATTATTAACGCACAGATCCCAGAAAGAAATTCATCAAAGAGTGCAATGTCATCTCGATTAGCCACACATTCAACTGACTTTATGGAGAAACAGCTATGTTGTAGGTCCAAATTCTTAAAGGCAGTATAGTGGTTTTACTTCCGTATCTATGATCAGGCTAAAATCCCAGCCAAAAGAAAAAAAAAATCAGAATAAAGAGCCAAAATACAAAACATGTACAGTTGTATGCTAAAGTTTAGACACCCTGGACAATGATTTAAGTGAAAATAGTTTAACACATGCTCTACAGAGAACATCCTTCAGCACATTTTAATGTACAATTAATGTTTATTTGCTGAACTGAACATATTGAGGGAAAAAAAATAAAGCATAAAATAGGGATTTTTTTACATTTGCAGAAAAATGCCATATTTACATCTGTTCTCTCTGGAGGATATGATCATTTTTTCCACTTAGAAAATGTCATTTGACAAGGGTCTTCAAACATTTGCATGTATATCTACTTTATTTAATGACTGATATTTCTTAGAACTTGAAAAAGATTGAAGTCCTGCCGGCCTGTAATATTCTACAGCACAGCAGAGTTAACCTGAGCTCAGTGTACTAATACATTGGCAAGTGAAGGCCTGAGATGTGCGAAACATCAACACCGCAAGGTTGTTGTACAATATGTTTTGAGGTCATGTGTGGATGTTATATCCTGGGGAACTGCAAAACATAATGTGAACAAACCAGGTCTATATCAAAGGTGGTTCTGTCTTAGCTAAAAACACCACAGTGGGGATTTCCCATCTGAAATCATATGATTCGTTTTCATTTTGGCAATACCGGACAAAAACTATGGCTATTTCAAGTCACACCTTAATGAAATATGGCTTTATTTCCAGTAGTGTAGGCCACTGCTTTATTTTACCATCGAGAACAGCATCTGAACGTAAAGCTACTGAGGATCTACTGTTTTGTTCTGCAACACTTAACACTCTTTAAATCGCTTGATTGACTCCATGACTGACACAGTCGACTGACTTTCTATCATAAAACAAAAAAGAGGGCTGAGCAGTCTTTCGCTGGTTGGCACAGAAAACTGAAAGGGGGCCATTTAACTCTATGGGCTGTAATTTTCAGGGTCAAGGCACAACATACAGAAGTTATACAGTGTGAAAATGGGACACTGTTGAAACAAAGGTCAACAAAAACATGTCAGAACAGTGAGAACTTAGAGCAGATAGCCTGCTCTGACATCATCAGTTTCACAATGACTCAAGTTATATATAGACACCATTTGTGCAATGGGTGCTCTTTATCCCTAGGCTAGACAAAACATTAAAAAACAAAAACATTCAACAGCTGTGAAACAGTAAGGCTGTCTTTATCAGACAAATACAAAGAATAATTCCAACCAATCAACATCAAGGAGTGCCGGGCCAGTCCATGCACAGGAGCTCTCATTGGCTGCTCTTTCAGGCCCCTCCCATGCTCTGTGTCATGTGATCAGGCCAGTGAATCGTCCCTTTTTCCTTCATTTCTGTCAGTAGGCCGGAGGCTGGTAGTCACTGCCCCCCATTGGCTCCTGCTTGGGCATAAAGGAGGGTTGCTGGTAGATGTCTGAACGGCTAGGCGGGAAGGAGGGGTAATTAGATGTGGGGTATGAGGAGTTGTGATCCGGTGGGACATATGATGTTGGGTATTCGGAAGTGTGATCTGGAGGGGATTCGGCATAGTTCTGAGTGAGCTCTCCCACACCCTGGCGGAACTTCATCAGCGCAAAATACGTCAGTGCGCCCTGTCAAACAAAATAATCAACCATTTACTCACAAATGTCTTCGTTAAAACGACAGTTTGGCAGTTACGTTATCACAAGCAGATCTACTGCTAAATTAAAGGAATTCCATGGACCTGAAATCTCAGCATAATTAAATCATTAGGATATAAATAAAGTCATTCAGAGTGACTCAGGGACACGGGAAGGAGTTTTAAATTGGGGTTGCTGAAATTTTAAGCAGTATTTACATGATGTGAATGGTGATTTGCCTTTTCTTCATTTGAATTTTTTTGATAATTGCATCAAACAGAACACAAAATGACATGAATAAAGACACACATAGCTGACATGTCAAACCACCGATGCACACCCTGATTTCTCTGCCATTTCGCCTTCTAGACCAACTTTACGTGAACGAGTTCAAACGAGTCCAATCAGACTGTTCATGTATGGTACACTAACAATTGTGTCACGTCTGCAGTCACACGCTTGAACGCACACCAAGCAGGAGATGTAACGGTTGATTAACAGAAACCAAATGTACTCAAAGCGCAGGACATCGTTACCTTTTTTAAGTTTAAAAACAATATTAGGCTGCTTAGGGGCTCAGAAATGGCTTACAGCTCTGCACACACTTTCCCTCTTTGCACCTCAAACTGTGTGTGTTTCAGTGATTCGCCAGGAAGCTTATCTGTAACCCTTTCATGCAATAGCTTTCTGTGAGGGAGCTTTCAGTAACATTAAACTCTTTAGTCTGGTTCCCATCGGCAAGTTTCTCTAGAATTAAATTTTTCACATCAAACCACCCTAAATGACTGTTTTCATCTAAACCATTTATTTATGCAGAAAAAAAAGATTTCCCCTTTCATGTTCCTGCTGTTGATCAGATAAGTTCTGTAAAGATAAGCTATTTTTATTTAACTTTTTCACAAGCACTTTTCAGTTAGCAAAGATTCCTCCGAGGCTTTCTTATTATGAGGGGACAAAACATTTCATACCAAATAAGCCCTGACCCACCTTCTCCACTCCACTCTTTTCCCTGAACCTAACAATACAGAACGTGGAAAATGTACATGTTGTACTTTTTCAGTGGTCAGTAACTATTAAAAGCGCACAAATTCCAGATAGAGGCCTTAATGTGTCTCTTTCAGTAGAGTTACACCTGAAGCAATCTGAACTAGTCCCAGTTGGTAGAGTTTCACAATGACATCAGTATCTGTGCAAACCACATGCAAAGGACAAGGCAATAAATCACAACATCTTCAAGGAGGTGGTTTGATGTGTGGGAGGAAAATCTGTCCATGTGACCAAGCAATATGGTCAACACAGAAGCTGAGGCCATTAACTGTAGTCAAATATAAGCTGTAAATTGCCAACAACATAGCTGGAAACATAGCTGAACCATATTGACAAAACACCACTATATTATGCACCATGTAGCCCATATGATTTAATTACCACTTATAGCAGTGTAACAAAACACTTTGTATGTTAAGTTACCAAATACTATGTTAAAAGCGTAATTCTGACACAATAACCCAAGTTACTGTAATTCTTCATATACCACATACTACAATATCACAGCACTATTTTGCTGTTTTTTTACTGTTAGAGCTAGGAGTTAGAAGGAGCTTCCAACTGGAATGCCCTGCTGCCTTGTGTGATGCCATATTGATAGTGATTAACAAATGCTCCATTATGGGGACCTTTCTGGAATAATGGAAAGCTGTGTCTTTAACAAAATTCCACTGATTTCTCCAAATGTCTGCATAATTCAATCACTAAGATATAAATAAAAGTCATTCAGAGTTTGATGTGAAATACCATTCTAGGGAAACGTACCGAGTCTGAATAGTAGTAGTCTGGTGGAAACCAAACATCTGAAGCAGAAAACTGTTACATTTTCCTTCAGTAAATCCATTCATGCCAGATATGTATCTGCATGACATTATAAGACAACAAAGTGCACATATTTCTTTCATATTTACTGCAGTTTTACCATCATCAACTTTACATCTAAAACACGTTTAAGTTCACTAGTCGCTTTGAATAGCAAATAAAACGTCCATATTTGCATTTGATGTCCCAACCCTTGCTTCCTTTCACCACCACTGTAAAGAAAAAGAGTCTCAGTTTCTTTTTGTTTACACCTCAATAATGCAGTTATGCAGCGGTCATAGAATTCCCCTTTAAAACTGATGATTTTTCCAAGTAAAAGTGGAAGTGAAGGGGAAGGCCTAAATGTTCTTGGTAAGAATTCAGTCTACACCACAGAATACCCAGCCAGCACAGCCATGTTTCCTAGTAATTTTACAAGCTTGTGTTTTTTCAGTAAACAAGCCCAAAATAGTGCTGGCGTGAGTGACCTCATCAAAATAACTCTCACATTCATGTGTTTCTAACAGTTCCAGCCCTACTGACAGAGAAAAAGCTCTTACCCAGGTGGCGATAGAGAAGAAAGAGAAGGCAATGATGGCATGTACAGCGTCAGTAGCAATGCCTGTTGTGTCAACTGTGTTTGCCCACTGATTAGCCAAGAGGCAAAAACACACAAACCACAGAAACGTCCAGGCTCCTGTTCAAACCCAGACAGAGAGAGAGAGAAAAGTTGGCTTTTAATCTAAATTAGGATATACAAATTCATCTCGTCATGGCTGTACTAACAACCATGCAAATGACCACATCTGCACATTTTAATGCACAATTACTGTTTATTTGCTGAATTTTAACATATCATAAATATCATAAATCATAAAATGTGGCCTATGCAAAGGTTATGGCACATTTTTATATCTTTTATTTTTTCCAGTACATTAAACTCAGCAAATAAGTAGAAAGCATGCACTAAAATGACTATAGAGAATGTGTTACAGTACTTTGTACAGGGGTCTTTAGACTTCATCTATATGCCTAGGCTTAGTCCAAACATTAAATATTACAGTAGCAAGCAAAAGTGTTTGAACCAGCTATATTAGCAATATTTCTATTCTAAATTCTGACACTTTCACCAGCTAGACTGCTCAGACTAAGCCATGCAGGAGGCTTTCTCACACTTTATCCAAGATTAGGACTGGCTGGTTTACACCAAAAGGGCCAGAACTGTCAGTTGTAGGTGTTTTCAGTCTTTGGATTTAGAGGCTTATGCTTTACTTTGGCAAGCCAGCGGTTTCAAATCTTCAGCTCGTCACTGACTTCCTCAAAATCATGTGATTGTTCAGTCATTCAACTATAGTGCCGGTAAACTCCTGTGTGAGGTCTTTCATGGTCTATTGTACCTTTACTCAAACTGGACTCACATTTTATCTTTTTATGATGTGACTCTGCGACATGTCCTTTTATATTTACCTGAAAACACCAGGTCAGCTGTCACCACACGCTTTCTCTCCTGGGCGTTACTCATCATGGGGAGATAAATGTCAGCCATAAGGAAGGCCACACAGGCGAGGAAAGCAATGATTCCGATGCCCACTCCGTAGTGGCATGCCCCGTCGTTCTTGTTGAACACGCACACCACCTGAAAATGGTCTGGGGGATTTACGTACCCTTCCGCTGTTATGGTGGCAAAAACCACAATGGCAAACACCTAGAATGTCCAGGCATGGGATTCAGAAGAGAAAAGAGGGAAGTGAAAGTTAAGAATCAAGCTCAATAACAATCACTCTAGACTAACTTGTTAAGTTCTAATAGGCAACCAAAATGGAGCTGCTTGGTTTGGGATAAAACAATTGATACAGATTTTTTTTAGAACTACTATTGTAATTATACACCAACTGGCACTTCATTAAGTACACATACTTGGATCTACACTCTTGATCCATTCTGTCAGGTCCATGTACCATCAAGGTGCACTTTGTAGTTCTACAATTACAGACTGTAGTCCATCTGTCTCTCTGCATACTTTGTTAGCCCCTTTTCACCCTGTTCTTCAGTGGTCAGGACCCCCACAAGACCTCCAATGAGCAGGTATTATTTGGGTAGTGGATCATTCTCAGCACTGCAGTGACACTGACATGGTGGTGGTGTGTTAGTGTGTGTTGCGCTGATACAAGCGGATTAGACACAGCAGCGCTGCTGGAGTTTTTAAACACTGTGTCTAGTCACTGTCCACTCTATTAGACACTCCTACCTTGTTGGTCCACCTTGTAGATGTAAAGTCAGAGACAGTAGCTACACAGTGTGTGCTGGTCATCTTCTTGTTCTCCATCAGTGGTCACAGGATGCTGGCCACAGGATGCTTTTGGCTGGATATATTTGGTTGGTGGACTATTAAGTCCAGCAGTGACATAGAGAAACTCCACTGCTGTGTCTGATCCACTCATACCAGCACAACACACACTAACACACCACCACAACATCAACGTCACTGCAGTGCTGAGAATGAAGTGGCTGGTCAGTATATAGGTGCATTAGGGCTGAACAACTGAATTACTGATATTCTGATTACAGCTGGACAATATGGACACCATATCATTTTGCAGTGTACCTTCTAGAACACTGATGGCAACGCAGAACTGAACTCTGTAATGTAGGTAAATTCCACTGTAAGATGTAAACAAAGTCATTCAAAGCGGTTTGAGTCAGGATCGTTCACAGTGGCGGTGAGAGGGTTCTAGCCTCTAAAATGCCTCTAAAAGCTACATCACAGAAAACTGTTACATGAAAATGGTTATTAATATGTTAAAATGTTGCCTGAAAACAATTTGCTATAGTTTCAGCCTGAAATGTTTTTAGATACATTCATGGAGGACATTCATCAACATTACATATCATATGTACTTAGATTCACTGGTCATTTCAGATAAAGTAGATACATTTCCACTCATTGTGACCACTGGGTCCCATCATCAACACTTTTATTTAGGTCAGAGTCATTTAGTGTCTCATTTCACATCAAACCAATATAATTTACCTGTTTTCATTGATTTGAACATCTGGTGAAATTCGGTATACTGGGTTACTTTTAGGCCAGAATGATTTGTTTGTTGGATCATGTGAATGCCTTTATTTGCCTAAACACAAGAACATCAGTGACTGCTCAGGATAGCACACTGTAAAAAATTAAGCAATTGGCTGGAGCCTCATAAGTATACTGTGGCCTGTCAAGATCATGAAATTTCAGTTGACGCTTAATTGTCATAGAAATAACTGTGAATAGCCATTTTCCAGCTCACTGAATGCAGCTATTAAAGTACAAGCCTACAGTGGCCAATTTGGCTCATTAGCTATCTTGCTTCCTACCAAGGGTGGTGCCATACCTCCAAAAGTCATGGAAAAAAAAGCATGACTGGCTGGGTAACAAAATGCAACTAGGCCACTGAGTCACAAACCTAATCAAGCAACTGAAACTGCCTTTCATTTCATGCTAAAAACATGATGCTGAAAACCTACTCTTCATTTGGTTCAGTTGGTTTCACACTGCAACAGCAAAAAAGGAACAAATTACACACAGCATTTTCATTTACTGGTCATAAATTTTACAGGTATGCAATCACTCTGTTACTGTCACATTTACTACCATGAACATATATAAACAGAAAATGTAAATAAAGATGCTTAATGTCTATTTGCATCACAAAACAATAATAATACAAAACAGCAATAATGATAATGTTTAATTGAAATCTGCTTCTTTTAGATTGGTTTACTGATTTTAATTTGATTTTAATTCATGTCCCTGATGCTTGACCATAAATATGTTCTGCAATCCATGTGCCAACATTTAAAGTGTATCTTTGCTATTATTTTTATTGCTCATCTGCTGTTACTATCAGCAGTTTGTGCTGCAGGAATACTGTGACAGTCTGTAAAGAGTAAAATGCTAAAACAAGCAAATTATGTGGACAGTACAGCACTGATATGCATTGAGCAAAGCAACCTCTAGTGTTGAATTCTTTTGTTTGGTGTGCACCATTGTAAAAATGCATTCTCCTGAGCAGCGAACTCAAGCAGGGGTCACAGGTCCACGGTTCAGTTGCTTGGTGTTGACCTAAATATAGGTGGAGTGTTCACATGTCAAAATAAATTAAACTATGGAAAAATCTCAATTGGTCCGCACCAAACAGGGTAGATGTGACAGCGACCTTAGTATAGTAACGCAGCAGTAAGACATTCGAACTGACATTAATCAATTCAAACTGTGAACCAGTGTGTTAATTTATGTATCTCAGCAGACACACATTTACCAAACCAGTGAGCTTAATGAGTGAACGAGTCCGACTCTGTCTCTGTTCGTGTCCACTGGTCAGCGCTCTGTGCACTTTTAATTTCTTTGATGATGTCAGCGTCCTGAACTCAATCAGAAAGTGGTGGATCATTGCCCCAGTACTTTGAAAACTGGTGGGTCAAATCGAACTGCTCACATCCATACTCACACCAACGTCTACAGTTACACGGATTTATGGCTACGTTTACAGAGCAGGTAGAAGTGTCCCAAATCTGATTTACTTACCAAATCCGATTTTGTTGTTTGTCTGTTCACAACATCTTTTAAATGTGATCTGTATGTGACATCAGTCTGAACAGACCAGCTCCTAAACTGACCCGCATGCGCAAAAGAACAATGCTCATCCAGAGGTAAACAATCACAACTGGCAACGAACGCCAGTGGCTCCCGGAGGGTTCAGCTTCATCTTCATCTTCGCCAACATCAAAGGGGACATCATGAAGCTTCACCGACTGACTGCTGGGCTAATCATCCACAATTTGTTCGAGCTCACCATAAAAAGGGTGCGGTCATTTCTTTGGTTCATGTGCTCGGATTCTTTAAACTTTGCTTTCAGACTTTTAGCTGTTCTTTGACGCTACAGCCTCGTTTCCCTATAACCTTGTTCGGCCAGTTCTTTCTAAATCTCTTCGAACAGGCAGGTGTTTTTAAAAAGTTTCTTCTAATTTTTTGGTACAGAAATATCAGCCTAAATGTTTATTAGGTCTCAGTAGTGTGAAAGTATAACGAATGTCAAGTTGGATTGACGTAAAAGTCGCATGAATTCTGATCTGGCTGTTCAGACTGAGTCGCATTGCTGCATATCGGATACGGATCGGATTTCAGTTCCACATATGAAAGCGTCTCAAATCAGAATTCAAAATGTCTTTAATTTTTGCTCTTCACACTGCCACATAGATAACACATCTGTGTCACATACGGAGAAAAAGATCAAATTTGGGCCACTTTTACCTGCTGTGTGTACAAAGACCAAGTCGAAAGATAAGCAAAGGTACACAAATACAAGCAATTCAGCCAGCATAAATACCAAAAATGTTGAATTAGCTACGTGGCTAACAAATACACTAACATTACTCAGCACGGCCCTCTGAACAAGTAAAAGCACCTAGTTAGTTTGTTGTCATAAGACCCATAATATCTCAATGAATGCACTTACTGCTTTCTTTTATTCCAATTTAATTGCCTCAACCCAACAAACCCATTTAACATCTCTTTGTTGCAGAAACCTAACAACTGTGGACAATTATTATAGTCCTAAATAACTGTGATAATTTCAAATAATTAAATTAGGCAATATTATAATAACTGTGACAGCCCTATGCACATTTCTTGGGAAGGCTGATGTCATGTTAACTATAAGGGGCCAATTTATTGCATATGTAATGGTGATGTGATTATAGAAGGATGATAGTCTTTTAAGTCTGCAGAAACATACATTTACGTTTGGCATATCATTTTGTACCCAGTACTTGTTTATTTATTTATTTGTTTTTTAAGCCAAGCCTACAAAGAACTGCTGAGAGCCAACACCTTCTGGGAAGCCAGATAATTAGACAAACAAATTCAGAGAGAAATGAAAGTACGCAGGAGAGAGTTTATATTAGACAGAAAGGAGAGTGAGAGGCAGCGAGGAAGACTGATCAAGTGATCAACACGTTTCTTTCTCAGAACATTACCAAGATTTTCCACTGATCTATAATCAACTTCCTGAATGCAGTATGCTGATTTTTACCGCTACAATGAGAAACCGCCAAAGACTTAGTACCCACACCACCCACACTGTAGTAACTACGGCTGCTAAGCGTTGTGGACTTTTAGCAGCCATGGCCACAACTCGTCTCACGTTACCTCCCAGCTGCTGTGTTTATACTTTCAGCGCCTAGTTGGACAGGAGAGGGGTGGCACAGGGCACACTCTGTCCTTGCCCGAGTATTTACATGCTATTGCATTATCCCTAGCACAGCAGCTCACATTATTTGTCTGACTGACCTAATTTGTTATCTGAGAGACCCACAGAGGCAGCGCGAATGTGAAGAGACATGTTGGTAGTGTGCACAAGCTTATGAGGATTAGAAATCAAGTCTCAAGGAGAGAGCAGTGACACAAAGGTCATAAAGTTTACAATGTCATCCAAAGGTGACACATAAGGCCTTGACCCTGATCATTATGAATGACACTGTATGCTTTGTTGTTGAAGGCAAAGTCACAATCAATTCACATGCCCTGCCAGGCACATGAGTGTCAAACCTATAATCAGGTTGTTACGGAAAGTCCCTTTAAAAGAGGAACAGATTCTTTGCACATCAGTCACAACAGGATTTCAGAAGCAGTACAAGTGGCCTGTACATGTTTTCTCTCTGTGGATTTGGCTACAACCAAAAGCACAATAAGGCAAGCAGAGGCATAGCCAAGGGGTGGCCAGAAAAGGCCAGTTCCACCCTGGAAAGACCCCAATTAAGGAAAGTGAGACAGTCAGTCATCATTAATAAAACATCAATTATGTCTTGTATGTCTGAATATCACCCATCAGAGCAGTTACCAATCAGTTACGAGAATCTGATGAAGCTGCATTTTATAATTAGCAAATCTTGCTGTGACAGCAAAGCAGCAAATGATGTACAAGATAATTTTTTTTTAAAGTTGAATACATGCGTGTGTTGTAGGTTACCTTATACAGTGCTGTCTGACTAGCTTTCTAATCATTACACTGAAGTATAACCAGTAGTTATACACTAAATGAATAACTTCTATGGCTTGTCTATAACTGTTATTGTTGGACACTGAAAAAAGTGATGCATTTCATTTTCTTGACTTAAATATATAATTTTCTCATTAATGACTAAAATGCTGTTGCGATCTAATGAAAATGAGTATCTCCAAAATGACAATTTCACAGGAGAAGGTATCATTCCTTTTAATGTGTGTAAAGAGATTTTATTTCAAGCGATTTTGGAGCATCTCTATTGGTCTGTTAATTGTGACATTTTCACAAATTGTATCAATATATGTCAAAAAATGAAAAACAACAAAATACTTTTTTTTCCTTCATTAACACAGTTCTGTCTTTCAGTTTACTCTGGCAACAGCTGCACTGATGTCATATTTTATTCACGTGTAAAATGATGGACAGATGCAGCTATGTACAGACAAAAATCAACACATCAATATACATAACATTTTAATATGTATTTACTTTCTTAGCAGTGTGTCATCACAATAAAATCTCTGGGTTTTTACCCGGCAATCCCAGGCCAGACAAAATAAAACCAAATAAAACCGCTATATCCTCATTTTAAAGAGCAGTTCTTGATCACGGTTCCTCTTCAGTGGAACTGTGAGTCACTGAACAAAGGGGTTCAGGACACAGATGATCATATGCTAACTTGGACCGCTCTGGATCGCTCCATGTGACTCTGGGTGACGTAAGTTATGTATGTCCCAGAGCTTCTCCCCTTTCCAATGCTGGTGCTTTGCACAACAAACTTTTAGCTGTCCAGCTTGGCATTTTAGCTAAAACTCGTTTTCTAACTTCTCCTATCACATCTAACTTGACATTACAGAGTACAGACACTAAAGGGCCTTTATATGACATCTGTTTGGGGCTAACGTTACCGTTAGTTGCACTTGCACTCGAGTTTAATGAGCTCTACTTATCAAAACAGCAATAAGGTGCTGAAGAAGCTGTGGAAAAACACACAACCACCCCTAATATACGAAGAGAAGTAACTCAGGTATTCAATTTGTGAGTTTTAAACAGAATACAAGGAGGAAACATACACTAGCAAACAATTTCTTTCCACACCACGAGTCTTCGTTTAGCTCGCTAAAATGTCAACCGTCGTCACTCACCCAGCTCAGTATCCGTAGCACAGTTTGTGGCTGCTTGATAAACTTCATGAAGTCGAAGCTGCCGCCGGCTAAAGCGGCGCCGTACACGCTGGTTTCGCTGGACTCCATCTTATTTCACACGGCCAACTCACAGGACTTCCCCGGGTAAACAGAGCAGCTGAAGCTCCTGACAGAAGAACCGCCGCCTCTGGGTGATCTCGCTGCACTCAGCCAGCGATGTCCGACTCGCGAACGAGTCATTCTTTTGAACCGGTTCATTTCAACAATACATCGTCCGAGCCGATTCATTCCGAACCGAATCGAGCACAGCTTTATCAATACTATCTTATGTTCGTGTTAAAGACTGAAGACCTCTAAATGACCCCAGAAACGAGGAAAAAAACTTTAAAAAGAGTGACAATCTTGAGCAATAACATATCACTATATATAGTACCGCATTATAACTTTAAATACATTGACATCGCTCTCATCGCATCTGTGCAGACTGCAGCTCGCTTCCGCTTTCTGTTGTGTTTATACTTTGTGCGATGCGATAATTGTAAATGGAGGATAAATTGAATGAGTTTAAAAATGACTCACTGAATCGTACGTTTGATTCTTTGAAACGTACAGTTCAAAAGAGTCGGTTTGCTAAACTGAATCGAACTTCTACATTGGCCGTTTCCTGTAACTGCGGGAAGGTGGAACCTTCCATCACGGAGACGGACGTCAATAACGTAACTAAACGCGTATCGTGAGGAGAAAGACATGCAAGTCACAAACCTAATCAATCACAAGTTTTTGATCAGGAATTAATTGATTTTATTGTTTTGCATGCGAAGAAGCTCAAGAAACTCGCCCGTGATTTCCTCCCTAACTCGCTCCCTTCGTTTTTACCTACATCCTCCACTCATTTACCCCCCGGCCAAAAAAATAAAGATGTACAGTAGAAATCAGGCCGTTTCAGACCTTTTTACCCGCCCTCAGCCTAGTCATATTATTTTGTATCTTAGAGTATAAAAAGGAAATAATACCTATGGAGTATATATATATATATACACTCTTAAAAAGGGGTAGAGTATGAGTTTAGAACCATTTCATGCATTTCAAAAGATGGTTCTTCAGATTGTTGGAGAATATGTTGTATATGATTCTATATAGCACCAAAAAGGGTTCTTCTGTTGTTATACACTCTTTAAAAAGATGGTTATTTAGTAAAGAAAATGGTTCTATTTAGAACCATGAACACACACATATATATATATATATATATATATATATATATATATATATATATATATATATATATATAATACATAAATACTACATACTTGCAGAGCTCCCTCTAATGGTTTGGGGCCTTTAAGCAAATGCTTATATCACAGAGTTTGATGTCTGCTACTTTTATTCACTAACAGAATCAGGCAGGCTACAGTTCAGTTTTTAAAGATTGCTCAAATTTTATTAAAGTCAAACTCAAATAAAAATTGACCTATTTTCCCATGTTAGTTGTGTCTCTTTTGTGTCACAAGCATGTTTAATCATAGCATTTAAAAACTAAACTCTTGTATTTCAGTGATCTTTGATTGAAGTGAACACCTCCCGATTTTTGATTACATCATCGTGCACCAGCAGGTGCAGAAAAATAATATAAACCAATAATATCTTTAATGTCCCTCTCCCACCATCCCCGCCCATCATCAAGAGATAATGCTCACATACATCGGAGACCCTCCGTGATGCCATGATTCACTCAGAAATACGTCATGTTATGGAAAGAAAATGCATTTCCAATTCACATTAACATCAGCCCATAACACAAATATCATAAACAAAAAAGTGTGATTCGGTTGTGAATCAGCTCGACTAGTTTATTGAGAAGATCCAATTTAAGAATGGAGAGAGGCATTGCTAATTCATTAGGTCTACAGAATTTCTGGTGAGAGCATCACAGAATCTAACTGATTGTCTAGTCTTTATTTATAAAAAAACAACAAAAAAACAAGAAATGCAATGTTCTTTACATATATGATTTAGCTCCTCACGTTCACCTTGAAGAGCCAACTTAAAGAGCTGAATTATTTTTTAATACATCACCAGCACTCACACAAACATAATGGAAAATATCCAGTTTTATTACAGGAAAATTTAAAATACAACTTATTTTACAAATATTTTACAAAATGTTTCTTTGAACTTGAACAATCTGACCATTTTCTTTGAACATACACTAGCATTCAAAGTTTGAAATTACTGTTTTCAATAACATTAAACTGATTTGGTTGCGGATAAATGTATAAAACGATTTTCATGTGCTCGTCCTGCACAGCTTCAGATGTTAGAAACAACAACAACAAGAAAATGTGAATAAAAATGAAGAAATATTAGACACGTCCAGAATGATGAACAGAGCTGTTGATGATTATAAAACGACTAAAAAAGTTATTACGTTATATTAAGAATCAAGTTATATTAAAATTGATATTCAGAATTTAGCATATTTCAACAGTGGGGATGGAATATTAGGGCAGATAACTTTATAAAAAATGTATTAAAATAGATCATTACAGTATACTGTTTGTTGTTTAATTTTTTTTTTTTTGTGAAAAGAATTCCTGAACTATTGAATAAAACATAGTTTGGAATATTTGAATCTGCATAATATGTTGTAAGTTGTTATCCGCACTGCAATATGTTTATGCATTTAAATTACCAGAAATTGTAAATATGGCATCTACACTAGTGTAGATGGCTGGTTGACCTACATCCTCTACAGCACAGCAACAGTAAAAAAGCAGAACAGCTGAGTAATGGAACCAAGGCTATGGCCTTTGGTAAGCATTCGTTAATTTCACTAGGCCACATCTTTGCAGCGCTACAAAAAGCTTGGTATATTTAGAGGTGAGAATAACTTTCTCAATCCTATTCAGTCTCTTGAGTACCAGCGCCTTCAAGGGTTTCTTCATCCAGAAGATTCTTTTCTTCATCACTTTCCTCATCTGGTATGCTGCTTTCTTCGTCTTCACCCTGTAAAACAAACCAACATTATGACAACCTCAGATAATATTCATTGCTCACTATTAGTGTACAATTGCTTGTAGAATTAAATTTGCAGACACAAGGGGAGTGTGAGAACTTGTAGAGTTTGAACAATACTTTTGTTCTTGAGTTGTGCGGATGGGCTGGAATCTTTTGAATGTTTTAGGAATGCTGATGCTGTTTCACCAGGAAACAGAGAGGTCTTTGTGTGAAGCACAGTACCTCATCAGAGTCTTCTATCCTGGAGGCTTCTACAACGTCCATGTCTTCTTCATACACAGCTACACTCTGCACAAGAGCAAATGCTGAGCATATACATTTTTTTAAAAGGATAATTTAATAATTTAACAAAAAAATCCAGTTTACATAATTTCCCCTGTAAACCAAATGCAATTGATCAGCCAAGACATGTTTGGTGTCTGAAGCTTGCTTCTTTACCTTTGCACTGAAGCTAAAAGGCTAATAGCTAACAAGCTCCATGACGAATGTATGCTATATAGTGTCAGAAACCTCATAAGCATATCTATTTGAGATAACTTACCAACTCGACATGGTTTTGAGGTAAGTGTGGTGATTTAGGCATGCAGTTTGCATTATGATAATTAGTGGGTATAAGCTTCCATTACTTGTTAGCGACATTAGCCTCATAGCTCCAGCGCAAAACTGAAGACAGAAAATGTCTTGGCTGATCAACCTCATTTAGTGTGAGGGGAAAATTGGACTGGAAAATGGATCCTCACCAGTTCATCATCTTCATCCTCGCTTAAAAGGCCATCATCTATGCTACTCATCTCTGTGAATTCTTCTTTAACACTAAAAACAAAGAAAAAATATATAGAGATTTTGAAAGGGCACGAGAAAGAAGAGGAGTCAAGGCTTAACAGGAGATCCTCCATCAAGTGTCAACAGACAGTACAGTTACAGGAGTAGAAGACATGAAAATCATATAAACAGGATTAAAAATCAAGGCACACTGTTGACACCGAGAAAATATCTACAAGGGATCCAGTGACCAACATCAAAATTCTGTTAGAAGGTGAGGGGGGACAACCAGGGCTTGATAAAACCACCATCTCTCCTTTCCATCCCCCTTGGATTAATGTGATGTGACTTAATTGGGCTAGTTTGAAAATGCTGTTGCAGTAAAAAAAAAAAAAGTTTCAGCTTCTAGGGGATTTTAAGCAAACTTGGGCTGGAGATTTTTACTGGACATGGCAAGCCTGTCTGCTGTGGAGAATCCTAAAACTTTGTCAATTCTTTAAATAGAAAAACAGGCACAATAACCAATATTAACAGTAAGAGATGTTTGAACTAAGTAAACATTGAAAATTGGAGCTTATTGTCTTTGGGCATGACCTTAAAGGTTCCAGAACTGAAAACTGTATTTACATTGGCATAGTTGAATAAGGAGAGCTCGGTACACAGAGCTGACATACAGTGAACGTCAAACACTGCTGTCTCCTCCTTCAAATGCAAGTCCTGCATTTGCAAAAGAGGACAGTAAAACAGGCCAATTCCAAAATCCTAAGCTGTTACGTAACATTCTTGATTATTATTTACACCCCCAAAATTTACACACGACAACAGAGCAACAACAAGAAAATGCCAGACTGCATGCAGAAATGTACTGTTCAAGGCTGTGTAGGGGATGACTTTTATACCCTTTCCAAGGAACCTACAACTAACTTTCTGAAGGCCCAACCGAGGTCAACGGGCATGGTTGACGTTTTTAGTTAGTTGCCAACTTAAAACTGTGTTTGTTATGTCTTGATAATGATGTAAATAACTTGAGATCTTGAGAAAACAACATTTGTTTTGCTATGATAATGATATCACAAGATCTCAAGAAACCAAATGAATGTACCTTGTTATCGTGGAACAATGAAATCTTTGAAAAACCAGGTGTATCTATAGCCATTTAGGGCTTCCAGAGAACCATATAACTGTCACAATATCAGGTTCAGCTCAGCTTTTTCAATAAATCCCAGACTAATCTGAATGTAGTTTTGTTGCAGTCAACCTGTTAAGCATTTCCCAGCCCATCTTGTTTGCCTGATTGTATTCTGTTCATTTCTGGCTAATTCCAGTCTATCTGTCACAACTGCCAACTGAAAAGCTTGCTTAGTTTGCTCTTCTTCAGAATTTGACCAAACAGACTGCAAGTCAAATATTATCTCATAGAAGTTATGAGTTAGTGTGAGTCATATGAACCAGTGCTAATACAGTTATTGCAAAAAATGTGCTGTTATCATTAGCAGAACTAACTGTTATTTAATTCTATGCAATTCCATATATTCCACTACTTAACTGTATTAATTACTGTGTTCCTTCAGTTACATTTGTGTAAAAACAATTCAGAATCATATTAAAGTAACTGAATCAAACTGAATCACAGGGAAATCTGAGTTTGTGCATTGAACAACTCCTTAAAAATCATAATTGAACCATCTTGTTGCAAGATCAGATAATCACACCCCTTTTGATTAGTATGGACAATGTTAGAATAATTAGTACATTAGTACATTGTGATCTCGAATATCCAGGTCGGGTTATAGCAGACCAGTAATCACCACTGATCTGCATTAAACTGAAGCCACAAACTGTGATAATAATGACCACTTTAAAGAAACTTCACTTACACTCTGTATATTCTGGCTTTCTTCTTTCCTGGCAAAACAAATAAGACATGAGAGCATCAGAACCATAAAGCCTTCACTGTGGCTTATTACAGAAAAAAAAAAAAAAAAAAATCTTACATACAAATGGATTATTCTACCAGGATCAAACTTGAAAACATATGTACATAGACATTTTTTGCATTTTCCAATTTATGTGACCAAATTCTCAGTACTGCAACAAGGTTTAACGATGAATTTGTAAGTGTTGTTTTTTTTCTCTAGCTTTTCACATTTTTTCACAATGTGTAAATTGTTGTTGAAAATGTATATATTTTGCAATTTGATCTCAGTACCACAACACATTGACAGCCATTGAGTTTTTCTTTTTGTTTGGGCAACAGAATATTTTGTTGTTTTGGTTCACATCCTTACAGTTTACAAGGCATATCTTAAAGTTCAGAGACTCAAGCGATTTATCAGAGAGATTTATCTGCTGTAAATGATTTGTTGGAGCACAGTATGGGAAAACTTGTATAATACATCTCAAAATCCGGATTATCAATTAATACATTACAAATTCGCTTATCGGATGTGAATAACCCCCAGACGCCGTCACTCTATGAAGATCATTACATACCCTAATTGTGACTTAGGTCCACTAAGTGCCCTGGGGTCATTTATGCATACGTATTGGGACTGCCCTGATGTCATCAGTTTCTGGAAGCAAGTACCTTTAACCTTAAGTGACATACTTGAAGTTAGGATCCCTCTTTCACCTGACTTTGTTCCTACTTAACGATGACATTCTTTGGCTTGGCAGCAGTGGGCCAGTCCTTGAAATGGTCCTGATGGAGGGGTCCATAGCCCGAATGCACGCAGCTGGCCTTACAACTCTTCGGGTGCAGGAGGCGACATACAATTTAGTTAAAGAGACAGTGCAGCGTGATCGACCGTAATTTATTGGTGGTTTTGTTTTCGTGAGGGGAGATCCAGGCTGGGAGTGTGTATGGGTCGCCACTGGGAGGGTGAGGAGGGGGATATAAGGGTCTATCAACTGTTCATTTTCTAACTACAGAAAATGACTACATGAGCTTGTTCTATATATAACCCTGTGTTATGGAGGGGTGGGGGGTTAAAATTGGTCACAAAAAAAGAGACTCAACAGTCAGAAGTAATGCAAACACATTTTTTTAAATATTGGTAATGAGAAATACATAAGTGCAGGGCCAGTCTTTGCACTAGGCAAAGGAGCCTAAAGCCCCCATGAGCCAAGGGCCCCATTAAAAATACTAATCGAATATGCTGTACAGGTTGATGTTAAACAATGTATTCGTAAATATATATACATTATAAAAATAGCTGCTGTTAGCAGCTGTAGTGATTGTTTTCAGTCATTCCAATGCAGAGTATGGTTATAATGGACAAGACAATTAAGTAAAATCTACATTATGGAGAGGAATGCTACGCAGGCTTAGCATAACGCTAGTGTAAATGTTAGTATGATAGCACAAGTGTTGGGGTAATTACACAAAATAGTACTCCATTACAATCTATTACGTCTGCATACTACGGGAGCCCCATTCCTGTCTTTTGCCTAGGGGCCCAAGAATCAAATCACCCCTGAATATGTGGACACACTGTGGTAAAAATAATTAGGGTAGAAAGTGCCAATAACCTTTAAAATTAAAAAAAGAACTCCTTAAACTTTTGCTGTACAGCATTTTGTGGCAGTTTTGTGATAATGACCCATATGAATTAAAATGAATCTTCTGACTGTAATGTCATAAACAACAAAATGCTACGTATCAATGATATACTCACGTAACACCACTCCATAGAGACAACAAGCAGTCACAGCAACGATCAGCAGGAAGAAACTGGTGAAAACCAAGATCGTCACTGAGAGTGGAAGTCTGTTCATCACTAAAGCAGGAAAACAGAGTGATTAACACTATAAATTATATTAACACTATAAAACTATATCTATCTATCTATCTATCTATATATATATATATATATGTATGTGTATCAAATTATTGTCTATGGAAATCACAAATCTAAAACTTGACCCTTAAACCAAACAGCTAAATGGATCACTAATGGCCCGACGTGCTTGGTAATGGTCTAATAATACAGGTCAATCCTGGACAATTGCATTACCAATGGTGAATCCCAATTGAGAATTCTTTTTAAATTTAGGCTTGGACTTAATTTGGGCCTCAAAAGTGTAGTGTAATAGTCTACTTTGATTGATTGTGTCCATAGGGGTTAAATTATATGAATGAGCACCCACTTTACCCTCTTTATTGATCAGCCACTTTTGACTGAGCACTCTCGTAGTGTTGTCGAATGCATTTGCTGCCTCACAGTGGTAGAGTCCAGCAGTCTCTGGGACCAAAATGACTTGAAAGACTGCATTATTTGTCTGGTGCAGAAATAAGTCTTGTTTTTCCAGCCTGGTGTTGTTGAGGAACCAGGAGTATTCTGGAAACGTCCCCCTCTGCACACTGCACCGCAGCCACACAGCCCACACTTCAGAAATGTTCACCACAGTTCTGTTCACCTTCATTGTCACAGCGCCCCCAACTGACTCTGCATGGGTCACACAATGAACACTGATCATCATTACTCCACCATGATAGATAGGAAATACGTAGTTTCCTTCATAGAGGAAGCGTAAATCTCTCTCTGACTCAGATTGACTACAAGTCTTTAGAAAATCAGTCAGTGTACTATGAAATTTCCAAATTTCCAAATTTTTAAACTACAATCTAAAAACACAAATAAAATTATATTTTTATACATTTATAATACATACACACAGGCACACACACACAAACACACACACACACACACACACACATATATATATATATATATATATATATATATATATATATATATATATATATATTATGATTTTTTGTGTGTACAACCTTCAAAGCTGTATTTGCTAGTCATGTAATGTCTCAAAATTAACAAAAAAGTTTCACTACAAAGACAGCATTTTTTTCAAAAATTGTGTTATTTATCAAAGTACAAAATGTACAAATATTATATTTTAAAATGAAATTAAGATCTCTACCAATTTAGTCTTAATAATTCCACTTAATTAATTATTATTATAACAATAATCATAACAATTTTAACAAAGCAATAGCATTCAATATTTCAATATACTACAAATAATTATTGCACATGACTGAACAGATCAGATGTGAATGTAACTCTGCCGATCTGCAAAACTCACATACAAACTCGCCTCAGCAAGATGACTACAAATATTTGTTAATTCTAGCTTATGTTCACTATAGCTAGCATGTGATGCTAATGCTAGCCAGTCATTAAAACAATAAACAAATGAACAATTTTGTATATTTATGATGAAAATCGAAGTAAATAATGTTTTTGCTGCAACATGGTAAAGGGGGGCTTTTGTCCTGTATCTGGGGGTAATTCTTACCCAGAAGGTCTAACTTTTTCATTTTCATTTAAAAAAAAACAAACTTTTTGTCCTCTCAAAATCAAATGTACTGCTCTCTCCACAATTCCCCTCCCATGATCGTATATCAACAACTTTTAATTTAACCTAGTTAGTTAGTTAGCAAAGATCAATTTTAATCCAGTTGCAAAAAAATCAATTGACCCCAAAATATTTAATCTCAGGAATGTGGTCAGTAGGATGACATTTAAAAATGAACTATAAGGGAAATGTTTGTGAACAAACTTTAATTTGGCTTGACAAAGCCATTGCTATATAATTCCAGGTGGTTGCTAAGGTCTGGCTATGTTATCCAAGGTGGTCCAATGATATAGAATCCCAAGTGGTGGGGAAGGTGTTGCTAAACTTTTGCTATGGTATCCCAGGTGGTTGCTAAGGTGTTGCTATGTTATCCAAGGTGGTTGCTAAGATGTTGCTATGATATCCAAGGTGGTCCAATGCTATAGAATTCCAAGGGGTTGGTAAGGTGTTATTAAACTTTTGCTATGGTATCCCAGGCAGTTGATAAGGTGCTAAGTTGCCTGCTAAGTTTTGTAGTTCTAGCTCGAAAACTTTAATTTGTGAAAACGGTACCAAAAAAGTGTTGAATAATAAAGAACATTAAGTTGGCTTTGTCAAGTGGATGCCCCTGTTTGTATACACAGTCTTATGCAAAGGCTTGGGCACTCCTTTGGAAATTACATGTTTTGTTGATTTTCTAAGTGAAAATAACTGAAAACATCCTACAGAGAACAACTTTTGCACATTGTAATGCACAATGACTGTACTTGTGCTCAATATATAAATATATATAATTTGGCCTGTGCAACAGTTATGCTGCAATTTCTAGACAATCAAATAAAATAAAATGGTAAAAACTTGTGTACTGAAACTGAAAGAGAAATGTCAACTAAAATGTCTTATTTAAATATTGATTCCACTTAGTCAGCTATAGGTTAACTACAGATAATCAGATTAATAATAAACTACCTGGAAGTTAATTCAGGCAGTTAATTCTCAACAGTGTTAGGATGGAAGTAAGGATTAGGATCAGGTAGTTTAAGGCCAACTTTAGGGTTTCAATTAAGGTTAGGTTTAAGAACAGAATTAGGACCAGGGCGACATGATTTTTGAAGAAATTTATTTGAATGTGAATTACATGCATGAAAAGCATCTACAGTAGGCTACCACATAAAGTCTTACCTAAATATTTGTTCCCTGTAGAAAATTTTTTAACTTATTTTCAGATAGAAAATCAACAAAACATGTCATTTGACCAGTATGTTTACAACTGTGTGTCCTGTCAAAGTAGGTGTTGTCTAATTTCTCATCTAAGCAGTGTGGAATTACATGCAGTCCATGTGAGGCTACATTGAGTTCTTCTCAGTGTGAGGATATGAATGCCTTCTATATTTAGGTTCATTCAGCTAGATGAATGCGTGTGTATGTGCTCCACATACCCACTGTGATGTTCACTGGTTTACTCGATACCGTTCTGGTCCTGTCACTTGCCTGGCACTGTACCAAGCCCATGTTCCGGTCTAGTTGAATTGGCACCACAATTTTAGCTTGCAAGTCTTTGTCTTGTTCCTCAGCAATGCTGTCATTGTTTCGGAGAAGTGTGAAGGTTATGGGTGAGGTCCCCTTCTCTGACTGGCACTTCACGATAGCAGAGAAAATTCCCTCCCCGTCTTTAACAACTTCAAATGAGATTTTGGGTTCTGAGACATGCTCTGGATTGGGCACAGAGATTAGCAAAAGAGAGAGAAAGAGAGAGTAATAAATAAGTGTTGTATGAAGTTTTAAAAGCTCAATTCTTTATTTAAAGGCCCCACATCATGAAAAAACATATCGTCGCTGTCCAATGAAAAACATATATCTCCATTTTTGCGATTTTTACTTTTCCGCATCATTTGAGCTCAGCAGCTGTCCTTCACATTGTGTGAAAATTTCATGATGATTTGACCAATAGAAATACTCCAAAACTGCTTAGAGTAACATCTCTTTCCTTTAACTTACATTGAAAGTAAAGAAAGTTTTTGCCCTCTCCTGTAAAGTTACTATTTTGGAGATACTTGTTTTCCTTTGGACAGCGATGATCTTTTCTCCTCTTTTTTGAAAGGAGTTTGATGTAGCTTTTAAACATTGCCAATGTTTCTACATTCCATACAGTTACTTTACAAAAACAAAGTGGCAAAAACAGCCTGTTTTGACATCTTGTTTTATGGTGTCACAAAAACCAACACTTGCCTATTCAGCTGTTTAGGCTTTCCCATTCACACTGAAGTTATAAAAAGTGTGTTGCGCAGGCATAAGTCGATCAGACACAGCAGTACTGTTGGAGTTTTAAACACTGTGTTCACTCACTGCCCACTCTGTTAGACACTCCTACCTTGTAGGTCCACCTTGTAGATATAGTCATAGACAGTAGCTCCACTGTTGCTTCACAGTTTTTATTAGCCATCCTCAAGTCCTTCATCAGTGGTCACAGGACGCTGCCCATAGGATGCTGTTGGCTGGATATTTTTGGTTGGTGGACTATTCTCAGTCCAGCAGTGACACTGAGGTGTTTAAAAATTTCAGCAGAACTGCTGTGTCTGATCCACTCAGACCAGCACAACACACACTAACACACCACCACCACATCAGTGTCACTTCAGTGCTGAGAATGATCCACCACCCAAATAATACCTGCTCTGTGAGGGTCCATGGGGGCCCTGACCACTGAAGAACAGGGTAAAAGGGAGCTAACAAAGTATGCAGAGAAACAGATGGACTACAGTCTGTAATTGTAGAACTACAAAGTGCACCTATATGGTAGGTGGACCTGACAAAATGGACAATGAGTGTAGATACAAGAGGTGGACTTAACGAAGTAGCACCAAAGTGTATCAGTTCATCCAGGAGTATATTTACAATATATTCCAAGTGTAATAACACTTCTGTCTACACATGACATACCTGAATTGACTGAAGTGCAATCTAAATTATATCAGATAATTATATATATCTTCATATGTACCCATTTGAAGTCAGTTCACTGCATTGCTTCTTCAGTGTAGATAAATTAGATAAATTCCAGCAGAAATATTATGCTTCAAATACATGAATCCAAAAAAAAGGAACAACATGTTACCTTTTACATTCACATTCTTGCCATCAGAAGTGCTGTTGGAGAACAACGTGCCATTGAATTGGTTTGAAGCCACACAGGAGTATCTCCCACTGTCACTGGTGGACAGGCTTTGAATGGTCAGTTGGTTCTGAGACCTGTTGTAATGCTGCCGGACTGGTACGTTGTTCAAGAGCCAATCATAAGAGACATAAGTCCCTTTAGTCACACTACACTGCAGAGTCACACTCTCTTCCTCCCAGAATTCCTCAGATGGCGGGTCTAATGTGATGTGTGCACCTTCTATCTTTTCTGAAACACAGCAAATCACATTATTTACACTTTAGTACAGTTATTTTGCAATGTACTGTACTGTGCAAAAGACTTAAGCGTCTGAGTCAGTTATCTTAAATTTAGTCGACAAGTCAACATTAAACTGTTCATTTCTATTTCACACACTCTGCCTCGTCTCCAGACTTTTTATCTTACTGTTCTGTTTTAAAACTTTGGGTCATGAAAAGGTACAAATATGTACTTTTCACCTGGAAAAACTTATTTAAGCTTCACAATTGGTCCTTAAACCCACTGTTGTGCCTTTCAGGGTACATTTACATTGTTTGTACCTTGAGAATCAGACAATGTACCTGCATCTTTTCTCTGACAGTGTAATATTTCTCACTTTGACATTGTTGCAAGAATTTTATGAGTATTTAACATATTTCTAGACATTTTTACTGAAATGACTGATATTAGCCAAAATTATCTCAATATACTGGCAGATCCTTTTGAATAATACTTATACAAGCAAAATTATCTGTCAGTGATAGTGAGACAGTTTGGTACACTGCAAAAAATGATATCTTTATGAGTGAGAGAAAATTCCCTCCCCGTCTTTAACAACTTCAAATGAGATTTTGGGTTCTGAGACACGCTCTGGATTGGGCACAGAGATTAGCAAAACAGAGAGACAGAGAGAGTAATAAATAAGTGTTGTATGAAGTTTTAAAAGCTCAATTCTTTATTTAAAGGCCCCACATCATGAAAAAACCATATCGTCGCTGTCCAATGAAAAACATATATCTCCATTTTTGCGATTTTTACTTTTCCGCATCATTTGAGCTCAGCAGCTGTCCTTCACATTGTGTGAAAAGTTCATGATGATTGGACCAATAGAAATACTCCAAAATTGCTTAGAGTAACATCTCTTTCCTTTAACTTACATTGAAAGTAAAGAAAGTTTTTGCCCTCTCCTGTAAAGTTACTATTTTGGAGATATTTGTTTTCCTTTGGACAACGATGATCTTTTCTCCTCTTTTTTTGAAAGGAGTTTGATGTAGCTTTTAAACATTGCCAAAGTTTCTACATTCCATACAGTTACTTTACAAAAACAAAGTGGCAAAAACAGCCTGTTTTGACATCTTGTTTTATGGTGTCACAAAAACCAACACTTGCTTATTCAGCAGTTTAGTCTTTCCCATTCACACTGAAGTTATAAAAAGTGTGTTGCGCAGGTATAAGTCGATCAGACACAGCAGTACTGTTGGAGTTTTAAACACTGTGTTCACTCACTGCCCACTCTGTTAGACACTCCTACCTTGTAGGTCCACCTTGTAGATATAGTCATAGACAGTAGCTCCACTGTTGCTTCACAGTTTTTATTAGCCATCCTCAAGTCCTTCATCAGTGGTCACAGGACGCTGCCCAGAGGACGCTGTTGGCTGGATATTTTTGGTTGGTGGACTATTCTCAGTCCAGCAGTGACACTGAGGTGTTTAAAAACTCCAGCAGAACTGCTGTGTCTGATCCACTCAGACCAGCACAACACACACTAACACACCACCACCACATCAGTGTCACTTCAGTGCTGAGAATGATCCGCCACCCAAATAGTACCTACTCTGTGAGGGTCCATGGGGGTCCTGACCACTGAAGAACAGGGTAAAAGGGAGCTAACAAAGTATGCAGAGAAACAGATGGACTACAGTCTGTAACTGTAGAACTACAAAGTGAACCTATATGGTAGGTGGACCTGACAAAATGGACAATGAGTGTAGATACAAGAGGTGGACTTAACGAAGTAGCACCAAAGTGTATCAGTTCATCCAGGAGTATATTTACAATATATTCGAAGTGTAATAACACTTCTGTCTACACATGACATACCTGAATTGACTGAAGTGCAATCTAAATTATATCAGATAATTATATATATCTTCATATGTACCCATTTGAAGTCAGTTCACTGCATTGCTTCTTCAGTGTAGATAAATTAGATAAATTCCAGCAGAAATATTATGCTTCAAATACATGAATCCAAAAAAAAGGAACAACATGTTACCTTTTACATTCACATTCTTGCCATCAGAAGTGCTGTTGGAGAACAACGTGCCATTGAATTGGTTTGAAGCCACACAGGAGTATCTCCCACTGTCACTGGTGGACAGGCTTTGAATGGTCAGTTGGTTCTGAGACCTGTTGTAATGCTGCCGGACTGGTACGTTGTTCAAGAGCCAATCATAAGAGACATAAGTCCCTTTAGTCACACTACACTGCAGAGTCACACTCTCTTCCTCCCAGAATTCCTCAGATGGCGGGTCTAATGTGATGTGTGCACCTTCTATCTTTTCTGAAACACAGCAAATCACATTATTTACACTTTAGTACAGTTATTTTGCAATGTACTGTACTGTGCAAAAGACTTAAGCGTCTGAGTCAGTTATCTTAAATTTAGTCGACAAGTCAACACTAAACTGTTCATTTCTATTTCACACACTCTGCCTCGTCTCCAGACTTTTTATCTTACTGTTCTGTTTTAAAACTTTGGGTCATGAAAAGGTACAAATATGTACTTTTCACCTGGAAAAACTTATTTAAGCTTCACAATTGGTCCTTAAACCCACTGTTGTGCCTTTCAGGGTACATTTACATTGTTTGTACCTTGAGAATCAAACAATGTACCTGCATCTTTTCTCTGACAGTGTAATATTTCTCACTTTGACATTGTTGCAAGAATGTTATGAGTATTTAACATATTTCTAGACATTTTTACTGAAATGACTGATATTAGCCAAAATTATCTCAATATACTGGCAGATCCTTTTGAATAATACTCGAAACAAGCAAAATTATCTGTCAATGATAGTGAGACAGTTTGGTACACTGCAAAAAATGATATCTTTATGAGTGAAATCATCTTAAATATAATTTACATAGCTAACATGTTTCATTTTGAGATGATTGTGGGAATATTATACGATCATTTAACTTATTTCTTGATGCTTTTCTTACTTGTTTCAAGTAATTTTATCAAGCAAAATCATCTCACTATGCTGACAGATAATTTAGCTTGTTTCAGGCATTAATCAGGTTATTAACCATCTCAAAATTAAACATATTAGCTATTTAGATTACATTTAAGATGATTTCAGTCGTTAAGATATCATGTTTTGCAGTGTACCAAACTATTTCACCATATTGGCAGATAATTTTGCTTGTTTCAAGTATTATTCAAAAATTAAACATTTTGACTGGTCTTAAAATCATTTCATATTCCAAGATGTCATGTTTTTCAGGGTAAAGAGTGATGTAGAAGTAAAGTAATGAGTAATGAGATTACTTTTTCCAGGAAGGAATAAGTAACATATTACATTTTAAAAGAAGTAATTAACATGAAGCTGTTTTTGAGATAATGCTGATTGTGAGATTTTGTCAAAGCGGACTGGACAATATCAAAGGCCTTGCATTGTTGCATTGGCAGGCAATCGGACCTGGGTCTCCCACGTGACAGGTAAGAATTTGACCCCTGAACAATCAATACAAGGACGAAAGAAGCACTTAGTAACTTGAATGGGTTTTTTGAGTGGCTACAACACTGGAGCTGTCCTTGCTAACACTAACACTAGCGTTATGTACAATCTGCTGAGCCTGTGCAGCTCTCTGTTCTGACTGAGCTCATCAGCTAATTAGCAAGGCCTTCATGAACTGAATTCAGATCATTAGATGAGGGTAAATGCTAATCTCTACAGCACTTTGGCCCGGAAGGTCCCCTGTTTGACATGCATGGTGTAGATGATCACTTCAGTGCCTTGCTCACACCAGTATGCCTTACACAGTTGTGTCATCACGGAACAACATGGAATAGTCCATTATGTCCATGAGCAGATGGTGGTGCTGCATTTAAATGACTGAAAATCTACAATACAACTGCAAATAGCAGCTATTTTTATGATGTGCACATAGTTTGGAATAGGTCAGTTAACATCAGCATGTACAGTATATGTCATTAGTATTTTAGAGGATTCCTAGGTGGCGGCCTACCTTTGCCTAGTGCCCTATCTGGATTAAGTGGTTTCAGATAATGATGATGATGAAGTATTTGTCTTTTTTTGTTTGTGCTATATTGACTGTGCTGCAACAAATAAAAATCATCTTCAATGTAAGGTGAGAAGTATCTTGAATGTAAAGATTGTTTGCACCTAGAGTTATTTATCCAATTTCTAGATATTTTTACTTATTTCAAGAAATTTTAGTTCCTGCAATCATTTATAAATGCTGTACATACAGTTATATGCAGACATCACAGGTTAAATTACATGTTTTGCTGATTTAAACATGTTAATACATCCTCTACAGAGAACACACGTCTGCACATTTTAATGCACATTTACTGTTTATGTGCTGAATTTAACACATTTAGGGAAAAATCATAAAATTTGTCCTGTGCAAAAGTTTTCCGATCTGTAAAACTCAGCAAATAAATATAATCTATGCACTAAAATCAGCATAAAATTCCACATTCAAGTTTGTTCCCTGTAGAGGATGTGTTGACTTATTTTTGGCCAAGGCCGTTCAAACCTTTACCTACATCTTTTCACTGAGAAGCATTTGAATTTTTTCTGTAAGTTATTCTGAGGAACTGAATATCACGTCATTGTACATTCATTGTATATATTTAACTAAATGATTTACCAATTTGTTCACGTTCACTGCTTAGTTATGATTTAATAACTTCTCTTTTGGTAGTGAACATCTTAAACAGAGCTCTTGCTTGTGCTTTTTACTTACCAATGACTCTGAAGCGCAGTGGGTCGCTCTGTGAGGGTATGACCTCTGTGTTGTTGTGTCCACTCGCTTTGCATATGTACCTTTCATCATGGTCAGAGCGGACATAAATAGAAAACTTGCCAGGCTCACCACTGAGAGAAGTGTACTCGACAGGGGGCCTCCTAACGTCACCTTCTTTAAAGAGCTGATAAAGAATAGACACATCTTCTGGATTTTCATCAACCTTGCAGAACAACTCCACAACAGTCCTCACGATGCCCTCAGAGGGACCCCAAATCACGGGTTTACCTAATGTCTGACCATCTGAAATGAAAATATAAGAGAATTCCATCAGCAGTTGACATGTAAACAAGTTATTCAGAGTGGTTTGATGTGAAATACTGACTGACTCGTGATGTCTACAATGCAAATATAGCCACTTTACACAAGTCGTCTGAGTTGCAATGCTGATAATGGTAACATCGTGATAAATCTTAAAAAATGCACTTTCTTCGCAGATTATTTTGACTTACAATGCTGTGCATGTAGCACTCTGCCATGAATGGGTTTTAAAGAAGGCCAAAATCTTCATCTAAAACCCATGTGTCAAACACAGGCCCACACAATCCTGTCCCTCCTATCCATCCCATGCAGTTATTTTAATTTTCTATTGATATTAGCCCGTTGAACAAAGCTCTGTGCTACAATCCCTAACATGTACTGTAACATAGTGTGTGCTCCCACCTCCTCCCCCAACAACTGTTACACCTCAATTCTACCACACCAGTCATATCACCAAACACACTAGCTGCGTTTCAGTTGTAGTCCCACCAGTATGAACATTTAGCTCAGCAGCTCAGAAATTGATCCCAAGTATATTTTGCTTTTGACATTTTGCTTTATTCTAAATAAACAATGGCCAGTTCAGGTTATAGCAAAATGTTATTTAAAAATGAAATTAAAAACATAGCCGTTCTCTGGCTAATGGATTTGTTGAGGTTTTTTAATATGGCACCTTTTGTGATTGAGTCTTTCAGGCGACAGGCGAGATATTCGTAACCATTTAGTGCAATAACTTTCTGTGACGCTGCAAAAAATGCCAAATCAGTACAACCAAAAAATGGCTTGATGTGGTAAAAAGCTGGTTAACTAGTTTTTTCAATTCATCAACACTTTGCTTGAAAGAAAGTAAAAATAAAATAATACGTCAAATCTCACCAAAGTTAAAATCAGCTTCTGCCCTCCTTGCTAAAAAAACAGCATAGAATAGTATGAATTTCATGCTGGTCTACGCTGGTTTGGAGCTGGTTTAGCCAGTCACACTGTTGTCATGGTGACTGACCAGCAGACCAGCATCCAAATCACATCATATGTTGGTTTTGCTGGTGACCAGCTATGCTGTTTTTATGCTGATATTTTATAGCAGGGGTTTCTACAATGCAGCATAAAGATCCAGTCATCTGGTTCCCATCACCACCACTGTGAATAATTCGGCTACAAATAAATTGTCTAATGTCAGAGACATAGACTTACCATCATTTTGAGATACAATTTGGGCCTGAATGTACTAAATTCATGGCGGAGAAGTACACCATCATAAAATCTGGGAGGGTAAGTTTCTTTACTATGGACCATTTCAAAACAAACGACCCCAACCAATGACTTTGTTTACTCAACGATTTCATTATGCAGATATCTTTCAAAATTGGTGGAATTCCCCTTTAAGCTAAAAAGGTAAGTAACCTGGCTGTCTTTGAACTTTTTTCATTTAATGTGATAAATTAAGTAATAGAATAATAATCTCTCTTGCATTCTGTTACCTTATTATCTGAAGTTCAATAAAACCTCAAAGGCAGACAGATTAACAGTTTTCCAAGTTAAAACACTTTTAACAGTCTGATCATAATACAGATATGGTGAAAAACCTGCAGTTATCAGATATAACAACATGGAGATAATGCAATCAGTTTAAGTGGTTTAATCAAAATGTTGTATAAATTAAAAGAGCGCTTGTGCTTGCAGATATAAAAGCTGATCACATTGGAGATAGTGTGGTCACTTACCTGTCCTCTGCCACATGCTGCAGAGACCTAATCAAAAAAGAAACAACAGGTCATGAAACACAGCCGAGGGAAAGATACCCACTATTACTATTTCAGAGAGAAATATATAAGAAAAAATAATCTTCTTTACCCAGAAGAACCAGCAAAAGTTTAAAAGTAAAGGTCATTTTTGTCATAGTCCAGTGGGATGTATCTGGTGTTTGCAAATATCAGCCTGTTAATCAGACTGCCAGAAAATGTGAGACATCTTGTTAGGTTATGTCTAAATTATGGCACTTTAGTGTACAGGCAACAAACACACACACTCACTCTCATGTACACTAAGAGGGTCACACCTCACACTAGGCAGAGCTGGATATGACACACCCCTTTCAGTTTCTCTAAACTTTGACATGTGCACTGAGCTGATAGGAGCGCTCTACTCCTGCACACACCCTGCAGCCTCTAACTGAACAGAATCACACAGTCAGGAACGGCATCTGCAGTGCAAAACCTCCAGGGTCTTCTAGGTCTTCAGAGACGGCTTAATGACTGAAATGCCAAATGGAAGATTGTCCAATCAGTATTTTTTTCTCCATGGTACCTCCATGGATATAGCCAAGATAGCCCTCCCATCGGTTAGGCCTTCAAAGGCCAAAGGCCTAACATGTCAGATTAATCACTAATATAATTAGAAAATGAAAGCATCAACCAATCACGTTTTGATTTTCAATGGGTGGGACCGATTTGGTGAGAAAAAAAGGTCACTTTAGTCCTGAAGTCCTGGATACAACACTGACCTTGAGTGCAAGATAGCCTGGCCAGGTTTCCTGCCGCTATAAATGTATTTAACATCAAATTTAATGTTTATAGAATGCTGATTTTACCTTACTTTTTTGCTGTTATTTTGTTCACTACTGAGGAGATTATTACTTTTATCATCTGTTGATTTCTGCTGGCAAGTGTTGGTTTCGTGAAGAAAACAGGAGTGGAGACTCGAGGAAATAGAAATTTAATGAATGCGCGTCTTCCCAACCAAGCAAGCAAGCTTACACAGCGATGCACTTACAGTGAACCATGTAAACCACACCCGCTAGTTGTCTCTTTGTCTAAACGACCCAGAAACCCCCCTACTTGTTGGGCGAGTGGGGGAAGGGGCTTGTGTTTCACAGTTACTGTATCCTGTCCATCTATGTTGCAGGACTACAGGAGCAGCTTCCAGTACAGAGAGGTCAAACGTGTTGTCTTCATCGTCACTGGAAGACATTGTAGATTGCCCTGTCTTGTCTTTAAATTCATCTATAGATGGATACAACTGGTGTTTTGCTCTTTTATCTCTCTCTTTTTCTAGAACCTCAACTTTTGCTTTAAGGAGAACAAGCGAGCACTGTGTACTTTCACAGGTTTTCTGTGCACTGATAGCGGCACGTTTGCGATTAGCACATTCTTCTTTTAATTGGTCAATTTTGGAACGCTGTTGTCCCATATGCAAAGCATGCCACTGTCGGAAAGCCTGAACACACCCCTCAAAATCTTTCTTTTTTACACATTTAGCAAGAACTGTGAAACACTGCTCCTGACTCCACAGCTTTCTGGAATATCAAATTTTTTTTTAGCCTTTCTTTTTAGACAAAATTTGTCTAGCATCTTTGTTAAATCTACCTCAAATGCACTTCTGTCTGCATATTGGGGAGACGTGGATTCTGTAGTATTAGGAGTGGAACCAGCCACACCTCTGGAAAACCAAACTCGGCTTTCTTTCTGCATTTTAAGTGCTAATACTTTAAACTTACACAATTACAAACAAAACAAACACAAAACAATAAAGTAGATCTGAACTCTGCCCCGAGTCAGGACGCCACATTGAACTCTGATCAGGAACTAAGGAACTAGGACACACCTAATTCAAAGCAAACGTTGTGGCTTGTGTAAAGACCAGAAAATATTTCTATATATTTCTGCACCTTTCCTAGATAAAGGAAGAGAAAATCTACAACAAGAAAAGAATCTCTAAAACTGTCCCTCGGTAAGAAACACCTTTCTACCGGATTTACGGCCAACAAACAGGAATAAGTCCTCCATACACATCATATGGAGGAAACTACATATAAGACAGATAACACTCCTACTCTGGCTGTGTGTGCTGTGTTTTGAGTTTTCTTTCATACACTGTTAGTGTATGAGGTGAAGGTTCAGCGTCTTTACAGCACAGGACCAGCAGACCGTCACTGGATTCTTGTTTTCCGTCCAGCTGCAGCAGATGTTTACAGCATTGTGCGTCTAAAAAAGCTGGAAAACCATGCAGATCTCAGATCCTGCCAACTACGACAAAAAATCTGTTGACTTCTGCTGGCAAGTGCTGGTTTCACGAAGAAAACATTTCATTTCATTTCATTTACAGCATTTAGCAGACGCTGTTATCCAGAGCGACTTACAAGAAGTGCTTTGTCTATCTAGAGAAAATATCTTTGCTAGTTACCAATAGGTTAGAGAGAAAGCCAGTCCTGAGCTCAGATACTGCTAGAAACAAAAAGTCACTGTTGATACCCGGAGAAAAAGGAACAGCGTTAAACACAGAACCATGCAATACAATACAATACGTTACATAAGTGCAGTACAATACTTTACAATCAAAACTTAATTCATTGCTCATTTAAGTGCTGTATAAAGAGATGTGTCTTCAGTCTGCGTTTGAAGACAGTGAGAGACTCTGCTGTACGGACAGCCAGTGGGAGTTCGTTCCACCACCTGGGTGCCAGTACAGAGAACAATCTTGATGCTTGTCTTCCACACGCCTTGAAAGATGGCGGGTGAAGCCAAGCTTTGCTCGAAGGCTGAAGGGCTTGTGGTACAGTTTGAGATTTCACCATTGCCATCAAGTAGGTAGGGGCTGGTCCATTTTTGGCTTTATAGGCAAGCCTTAGGGTTTTAAATCTGATGCGTGCAGCTACAGGAAGCCAGTGAAGGGAGCGCAGCAGTGGGGTGACGTGGCTGAACATGGGGAGATTGAAGATGATCCGTGCTGCTGCATTCTGGATGAGTTGCAGAGGCTTAATGGCCTGCATGGGAAGACCAGCCAAGAGCGAGTTGCAGTAGTCAAGCCTTGAGATGACAAGAGACTGCACTAGCACCTAGGTGGCCTCTCGAGTGAGAAAGGGTCGGATCCTCTGGATGTTGTACAGGAGAAATCTGCATGACCGAGTTAGGTTCGCGATGTGAGTCGAGAACGATAACTGGCCATCCAGAGACTTCTTGCCTCTACAGACGGAACAATCAGAGAGT